GTGGTGGTGGTGGTGGTGGTGGTGGTGGTGGTGGTGGTGGTGGTGGTGGTGGTGGTGGTGGTGGTGGTGGTGGTGGTGGTGGTGGTGGTGGTGATATATGATGATATGAGATGAGATGATGAGATGAGATGATATGACATGATATGAATGATGATATGAGATATGAGATATGAGATATGATATATGATGTACGATATATGATATATGATATATGTAAATGATATATGATAGTTGTGTATAGATCTATCTCTATTCCTCTGCAGTCGATTTTCCATGTCTCCACTGGTCCATCTGCTCGCTGTCGTTCCCCTGGCCCAACACATGGGCGGGGATCCACATGCGCCTGGGTTTGGACTCACATGCGCTGATCTTTTTGGTTCCCGATCAGTTGGATATAAACTGCATGAACTTATCATACCTACGTGGAGTTCAAACCACCTGATTTGGTCTTCGGATTTCATGGAGACATGCACCTCTCTAGGGACATGCCATCCACTTCCACCATGATTTCAGGGAGTGCAGATCCCCATCTCTTCTCTGCCAGCATCGCACAGCGTCGCTGGGCAGTGCACCTTGAGGCCGCTTCGGTGCTCTGGGCAGTTCGGTGGACAGGAAGAATGATCGATTGGTGCATCAGTGGCTCAAGTGAATACTGGTGTGATGATGATCAATCATCACGTAGATGTTATACGTTAACCGTTAATCGGTCAGTTATAACTTATAACATCATAAGTAATCAATCCATAATCGGTCAGTCATATGCACTTTAACTGGGGTATTGGATCATATGGTGATCTCTCACCCGCTTCTTCAGATCCACAAGTGAGCCCAAGTCAGGAGCCCTGTCCCAGGTGGCGGCTTCCGAACCCAAAGGACGAAGCCCAACAGGCGACTGCGAGGCCTTCAACACTTCGACATCGATGCCGTACGAGGCCTCCATACACTCCCGTGCGGAAGCAGTCGTTACCGTGGAGCCACGTGGAACAGTTCGGCCGGAAGATCATGTTCCTCTACGACTCTAGGGAGGCCTTTCCTGCCCAGCTTGCAGGAAAAAACGTCTCAGACTGTCGTTTCGGGAGAGTAGTAATACTGTCTTACTACTTTCAGGGAGCCAGGTATTGATCCTTCCCACCGTGCATAGAGAGGCCGTCGACGTCTTTGATCTGTGCATCCGTGACGTCTCCGGAACAGCCAGCTGGTCGGATCCAGAGTCGGTACCGCCGCACCGGGCAAAGGAAGAACAAGTCGTTGATCAAAGTCTCAAAGGAGTCACGGCCAGTTCAGATCTCCTATTGAGTAGAAAATGTCTTGTAGATCTGTAGATCCTTATATAGTCTATCCTTATGCTGGATGGTTGTAATCACTAAACCATGGCATAAACCATCCATTTGAGTGTTGGTACATGTTGTTTCCGCTCCGCTCAAATCCTCACATCGAGCGGCCCGCGTGGAGTAGCGACAGCAGCAGCGCTGTGGCCAGACCACGCCGTTGTTCGGCCGGCACTGTACGTGCAATCAGAAATGAAAAGCCTCCTAGGTTGAGACAGATGAGAGGAACTGGGTGAGGAACTGGGTGAGGAACTCATTCGGAAACCGAAAGAAACCCCCATCCGGACGGGACGGGTGAGCAACATGGATAGGAGATAGATCTAGGCATACATGGACTAATTAGTAACCTATTCCATACATCCCTATGGCTCTATGGATCCCACTACGGTAATATCACACTCATTTGATGTAGCTTTGGAGGGTCCAGTCGTACCTTCTGAGGTAGCAGTGGGTCCACCATATAGGGCATGGATGTTTCGAGAATGGACCCTCCACGTGGTGTTTCATCTTTCATCTGCGGATTTCCCCGTCGAAGACACCACTGTATCCGTCCGATCCCCAATTCCTAGCTGTTTCAACAGGAGCTCACCCCATCTCGCCTGTGAAGACATCACTCGGGGGGATTTGTGCACATACTATCAGATTTGCGTACTTTCAGTTG